AGGCTCCTCCTGCGGCCGCCGCAACACCGAACGCTACTGCGCCGGCACCAACTACACGACCTCGCTCCTCAAAGACTACCTCTGCGGTGACGCGCGCCTCGGCCCCACCCACCTCCCGCACTTCAGCGACGACACGCCCACCGCGCGCGCCCTGGCCGTCGCCGTGTCCGGCTACGACCGGCTGGGCGGCCTATGCCCCGGCGCCTTCCTGGAGCGCTGGTACGATGATGAACAGGCGAGTTGGATCTACCCGCCGCAGGACGGGTTCGTGGTGGCCGATCCCGAGGGGGGTCCCCAGGCGGGCAGGCCGGGAATGCCGATCAAGGGGAATGTCACGCTGGCGGTGGAGACCCTGCTCGATCGGTTTGGGAGTGAGTATGGCGCGTTTGTGAGCCCCGCGGGGGCGCCGTATGCGCAGAGGGCGCTGCCGCCGGGGAATTTGGTTGGGGGGGATCAGGAGTAAGTGACTATTTTCGAGTTTGGGGAGTTTGGATGTCCCTGATGATGTGATATGCGGCTAACGCTTCCTGCCAAAGGTACCCCTATAACTACCACGTCTACAGCGTGGTGAAGCCGTTGGTGGTATCGGCTGGGCCCATTGCGGGGTGGTTTGGACAGGCTGGTGCTGGCGTGCAGTACAAGCTCTACGACAGGGTCAACAACTCTTATCTCGCAGGGATACTCTGCGGAGGGAGGATCCATCGGTGCTGCTTGCTTGAGTTCTGGGGTGGATCGCGTTTTGATCTAGGGATATTTAACTACTTATGATATAACCTGTTGCGTTCCCTCTGAGATTCTGAAGCGGAGATTCTCATATTTGTGTTTGCGTGATGAATTATTCCAAGCTACCTACCTATGTCTGGCCGCGTCGTTGCAGAGTTGAGCCCAGTTGAGGGAGGAGTCTACCAGAATAGATGGTTTGGATTTCACGCCTCTTGAGTAACCAACACAAAGGTATGATGTGATAACAGTAACGCCAACAATACGCTAATTATCTTCTACTGTCTGCCCCTTCTCCCTAAACTCCAAATAACGACAGATTCCCCCTCTCGCTGCCGATAGTATCCCCAGCCTCCAAGTCTCTAATTACACAATAGCAAATTCCATCTCCTCACCCAACCCCTCCTCCATAACCTCCCCATCCATAATCCCCCGCAAATAACAATCCCCCACAATCCTATACTTCCTCCCACCCCCTTTTCCGCCCTCCCCACCCCCACCCACCTCCCTCAACACAAACGGCCACCTCCCCCCCTCCAACACAGCCACCACATCCCCCTCCCCAATCCCATCCACCCCCCACCCAAACCTGCCCCCTTCACTCCTCATAAACCGCCTCCCCGAACAGAACCGCTCGTGCGCCTGCACCACGGCGCCATACGCAGTCAGCATGTCCGCCGCAAACGCGTCTGCGACCTCCGGGCTCGCGCCTGCGGGCAGGTGCTCCGTCTGGAAGTGCTCGGCCATGGTCCGGATGATTTGCTGCGCCGCGGCGTCGCGGGGGTGTTGGCCCGCGGGGGGTGGGGCGTCTTGGTTCTTGTTGTTCTTGTCGTTGTTGTTGTTGTCGTCGTTGTTGTCGTCGTTGTTGAAGCTGCCGTCTGCGGCTCGGAAGACGCTTTCGAGGTAGATGTCGAAGCCGAGGCGGTGGAAATGGGAGAGTGAGTCGGTTGGCCGGGTGCCTTGGCACAGGACGTGGAAGGTTTGGCAGAGGGCGGGGAAGTGTGCGCGTGGATTGTGGATGATATTGAGGGGGCAGGGAGTGGACCCGTGGCCGTGGCTGTTGTTTTTGTCGTGCTCGTCGTGGTTGTCGTGCTCGTCGTCGTCGGCGGGTTCAACCCGGGAGAGAGCGAGGCCGATAATGTTGCGGTGGTATTCTTCCGCATGGGCGATGCCCTCGAAGAGTCGGCTACGGTTGCGGAGCGTTGGATCGAGTATTTTCTGGATCACGGTAGAGTTGGGGTCTAAGGCGTTGGGGTCGGACGTAGAGTATAAGAAGGGTTCCAATGGTGTAGGAATCCGGCGAACGGTGTCCACCCCGGCGATGAGGTCAACCAGGCGGCCCTTGATGTGAAGGGTTTTGGTGGTAGTGTCGATGCGGAAAGACGGGGTAGTACTGCCGCAGGCGTTGGCATCGAGGCCGGTGGTCCGGAAGGGCTCGGCGTATCCGGAGCGAGTCCAGTCCGGTACCCAGGACGGGAGGGTGAGTGTCTGGGATTTGTCTGGGACGTCGACACAGTGGCAGAGAACGTCAATGGATCCAGAGTCAAGGTAGCTGATGGCAAGGTCCGTGAAGACGTCCTCAGGTGACTTGGAGTAGTCAACCGTGACCTGGTCTTTCTCTTTCGTGAGACCAAGCACCCCATAGATTTTGTCGCTGGCGAGTGTGCTCTTGAAGTCCCTGAGCATCTCAAGCAAGCCCAGAAGATCCAACGAGAAGTATGGCCGTTTCATGTCGACTAATTCGTCTCTAATACCACCCATTATCCATATTGCCTTCAGGCCTTTGTGTTGAGCGATAGGGGAGTCGAGGTGGTTCTCCTTTAGCCGAGATACGAGCTGAGCCATAGCTTCCCAGCCGAGTTGCAAAGGACCGATATGAAGTGTTGCGTCGCGGGCGTTGCCGATCTCTTGGATGACCCATGTGCGATGGAACTAGAGTATAATAGCTATGTCAGTATAACTACCACAAGACAGTCGAGCGGAAGAGCCACTTGCCCAGGCGCGGTCAACAACTTCGGCAATCTTATCCCAGTGTAGCTCCTGGACTTCAGGGGAGTTGAAAAAGTCCCACTGGAACTTGTACTTGTGCGCGATGGCGCCGTCTTCATCCAACTCTTGAGTAGTCAGCAGACCTTGGACAAACTGTGCGAGTTTCTCCACGCTCTCCATAAACTCTCTCTCAATGCCCATCATCTCACCCAGCCAAATATGCACATGAGATGCATTGGCGTAGATCTGGCCCATGAGTTGTACGTGCTCGTTGCGCTCCGCAAGGTTTGACTGATCGATGCAGAGGGCATCAACCCAGATTCGCAAAGGTTCGGGCGCGTGCTCGTCCCGGAGCTGTCGTAGTGCACTGCTTAATTCCCCGCCGATGGTTACTGGACTGCCGTCCAGCAACATGACGCCTTGGGGGAGACGACCACCCAGGCGAAGGTAATTGTACCGAAGCAACGGATGGTTTAGCATATCCTTGAATGCATACTCTTCCAAAAAGTCGTCCGTGCTACCGTCTTCCCGTACGGTACGCACGGCGCATATGAGGCGGCAATCAGGAGGGGGGGCATCCTTCATGACGCTTTGGTTCCAACAGTAGCTCAGCGCCGTGTATGGTTCATCTCGGCAGCGAATTGGCATGGGTAACAGGGTGCCGGTGAGGGGGTCGTCGTCTTGGCCCGGAGACAAGACCAGTATTCTTGTCTCGACGGGCAGATTCAGGGGTTGATACTCGTACTTTCGGTCGGACATGATGATTATGAACTGTAGCTGGACAAAGGAACCGGGGGTTTGAGAGGAATAATGCAATGGGTCTATCCTCTTCTTCTTGAGAATCGGCTGGGAATGAAATATCGGGCGCAAAGGGGCTGTGTCCACTGGAGGCCTGAAGTGGGGGCTGAAAGGCATAGCTTACCTATGTACAAAGAGGCGCAGCTTAACTACACCCGAACTCTCAAGGAATTTGGTATGCCCTAATTTCAACTAACCGGTTCGTCCTGCACTTCTTTTATACTACTCCCAGGCGCCTCGTCTTCTCCCTGATTTGTGATACTGACCCCAAACAGCCCCAGCTGCTAGCTGTATAAAAGTCCCACAGACCTGCGACACGGCCTCCCGGGTAGGCTGCTGGGTCTAACTATCGGTTGTCTTGCCTCGTCGTATAGTACTTCCTTAGATGGATGGTGCGGAGGGAAAAAGCAGACATATGCTACGAATGACTTTCAAG